CCACAAGGCCTTCAAGATGCTCAAGAGGCCTCCAAGAGGTCCTCCAGGAGGGCCCGAAGAGGCCAAAATCATGGATTTTCATTCAGTTGTTTCTAAATTGGGGCATTTGCTTCGGTTCGGCCTTCCGACGGCCCAAGACAGCCCAAGAGGTTCCCAAGCTAGCCCCAAGATGGCCCCAAGGCCTCCAAGAAGACATGACGACCCAACAAGCCTCCAAGACAGCCCAAGGGGACCGCAAGACGGCCCAAAAGGCCTCCAAGACGCCCAAGATGACCTCCAAGTCGGCCCCGAAGCGCCCCAAGAGGGCCCCAAGTCGGTTCAGAGAGGCATCAAGACGGCTTCCGACGGCGTCAGACGGGCAAGGAATACCCTAAGATGGCCAAAGCGGCCACGAACAAGCCCCCAAAGGCCCCCGAGAGGCCCGAGGAGGCCTCCAAGAGGCCCCCAGTAAGCTCCCAGGAGACCTCAGGGATTCCCCAAGAGGTTTCTATGAGGCGTCCCCCTCCTCCTCCTCCTCCTCCTCCTCCTCCTCCTCCTTCTCCTCCTCCTCCTCCTCCTCCTCCTCCTCATACCCCTCCTCATACTCTTCATACTCCTCTTCTTCCTCCTCTTCCTCTTCCTCCTCTGCCTCCTATTCCTCCTCTGCCTCCTCCTACTCCCTCTTCTCTTCTCATCAGTGACCTCTTCCTCACGTGTTCCCCGAAAGGTTTCAACGACAGCTGGGGGACCACAGGGTCAGATAGCTCTAGCCCAACTGTTGGCCACACAGGCGCTTCCAAAAAGGCAGGGGGCGCGGGGATTCGCCGTCGGCGTCTTCGATACCTTCTTCAGACCTTTGAAATGGCAGACGAATTCGTCGAGCTAAAAATTGATCTGGACGCGTTTGATGTCCGTTGTCTGTATCAAGATATGCTTGCTGAGGGATGCTTCTCTCAGCTGTGTCGTGCGGTGCGGCAGTGCGTCCCTGTTGGATGAGTGTTTGAGCCGTGCTGTCGGACCGTCGTCGGGAACTTCGAAAGGTCCCCAGTCGGTTGCTTGTGGTGTTCCCGTTACTCTCTGTTTGCAAATTTGAGCCCCTCTCCAATGGCGTGGCGCCTACTGTTGAAGCCGGCAGCGTGGTTGTGCTCGCTCAGATGATGTTGCAATCGTTGTTGGAAAAATGGGTCGTAGGCTGGAGCATGAGAGGGCGTGCGGCGGCTCGCTTGCTTCCGTGAATTTTCCTTGTGCATCATAGTTCCGAGGGTTCATTTGATGTGCACAGCTTGGTGGTCGGAACCGAGGTCTGGGGCGGTGGGGGCTGACGAGTCGATCACTTGGTTGCGATTTGCCCTGTCTACCAAGATGTAATCCATGTGTGTCTGGGTCGGGTGTTTGCCACTGCTTGTGATGCTGAAGATGTTGTTGGTGGTGCTTGTAGAAGTACGTGCTCGCAATTATCAGTTCCGTGCATGTGACCAAGCACGGAGCTATGTCCCTCGCGGGTCGCCCATGCCAAATCCGAACTAGCCAGCCGTGTTTCTCTGGCCCGTGAGATATGGTCTTTTGTTGTCGTTCGTGTCGTCATTGCTGGCAGGGCGCCTGTCAAACTGTGCATTGAAATCACCTGTAGTGATGCGTGTCCGCTTGGCTTGGACAGCGCCGGCGTGCAGCACGTCCGTGTATCCGTACACTTGCTGCCTGTTGGTGTCATCATTGCCTGAATGAAGGAACTACGCCGTCTGGACTTTGATGTTCTGCTAGACTCGTGGATGGCCTCGAAGCGTCTGACATGCTGGACGTGTCGCCGAGGAACGAGAAACGCAACTCCACGCGACGTGTTTTCGTGGCCAGATGCTGTGAATAGAAAGACCTTGCCACGCTGTGTAATCCAGGTCTCGCTAATAGCAAAAACATCAAAGGTACCCTGCTCAGTTCGTGCAACAGTGCGACCACGAAGTCGTCAGTTGTGTAAGACTTAGCACATTCTTGTGGATAGGGGAGAAGGACAGGGAAAGGAGAAGGAGGAGGAGGAGGAGGAGATGGGGGAGGTGGGGCAAGAGGAGGAGGTGGGGAAAGAAGAGGAGGAGGCATGGGAGGAGGAATGGGAGGAGTTGGAGGAGGCGGAGGAGGAGGAGGTGAGCGGAGCCTCGGCACGCGCATCTGCCTCCGCCACGCCGTCCAGGGAAACCCCAGAGGCCTCCAGGCGCTTTGCCTCGTCCTCCACGAAGCTGGCGACGGTTGGCGGCGCGCACGAGGGGGCAAGGTGAGAACAAAAGAATGAACGAACCACCACTGCGGACAATCGTCTTGGCCTGGCTGAAACCTGGTGGGGGAGGCCATGGCATCATCTTGGAAACTACAAACATGCAGCGGAAGGATCAGGGCGAGAGAGGGGCGACCGACTGGAAGCCTCCCAGACTCCCTAGAGTTTCCTGGAGCCTTCCCTTTCCCTGATGCCTCCCAGATGGGGCCACAGCTGATGGGGTCGGAGGCTCGCACCGCCTCGCCGATGCGCCGCGAATGCACAGGCAAGGTCGGGACGCAGGAGATCGGGCTCCAGCTCGCGTCGAGTCGCCCGTGCATCGGCGATGCGGCGCGATGCTCTGACCCCGTTCACAGTCACCGCGCATCGTGTCTTGCCCTGAGAAGTCGAGAAGCGAATGCGCCCTCCTGGCCACGGCGAGCCTCGGCCACGAGCAGGCTCCCCGACGCCGCTCCAGGGAACGGCCCGGCGACCAGAGCCCGTGCCCGTGAGTCCGAGGCCGCCCTTCGCTCGGCCTCTTGACGGGACTCCGAGGCGCGCAGTGCCGAGGCCGCGTGGAGGAGGAGGAGGAGGAGGAGGAGGAGGAGGAGGAGGAGGAGGAGGAGGAGGAGGAGGAGGGAGGAGGAGGAGGAGGAGGAGGAGGAGGAGGAGGAGAGGAGGAGGAGGAGGAGGAGGAGGAGGAGGAGGAGGAGGAGGAGGAGGAGGAGGAGGAGGAGGAGGAGGAGGAGAGGAGGAGGAGGAGGAGGAAGGGGAGGAGGAGGAGGAGGGAGGAGGAGGAGGGAGGAGGGAGGAGAGGAGGAGGAGGGGGAGGAGGAGGAAGGGAGAGGAGGAGGAGGAGGGGAGGAGGACCGCTTCCGGGGCGCCGTCCAGGCGCGCAGTGCCGAGGCTGGGGCGGCCTGCCGACCAGGAGGCCCCCTCACTCTCCGAGACCCTGCGGCCCAGGGGCCCTCTCGGGGCCTCCCCCACGACGGGGCCTCTCCCACGAGGAGGCCTGCCGACGAGGAGGCCCCCTCCCTCTCCGAGACCCAGCGGCCCAGGGGCCCTCTCGGGGCCTCTCCCACGAGGGGGCCTCTCCCACGAGGAGGCCTGCCGACGAGGAGGCCCCCTCCCTTTCCGAGACCCTGCGGCCCAGGGGCCCTCTCGGGGCCTCCCCGACGAGGGGGCGGGGCCCTTCCGAGCCTGGCGCCCCAGGGAGACCGCCACCCTCGCCCTGCCCTCTCTCTGCGCGCCGCCAGGATGGAGTCGCTCAGCTCCGCGAAGCGCCGCTCCTTGAGGGCGATGCTCTCCCGCTGCGAGGCGAGCTCGGCGGCGACAGCGTCTAACTGCCGGGTCTGGCCGGCGATGAAGGACTGCACGACCTCGAGGGGGAACGAGGAGGAGGAGAAGGGAGAAGAAGAGGAGGAGGAGGAGGAGGAGGAATAGGAGGAGGAATAGGAGAAGGAGGAGAAGGAGGAGGAGGAGAACGGCGACGACGACGACGACGAACATTGGGTGGACGCCAACTGCACTCCCAGGCAGGCTCAGGTCGTGACGACATCGATCTCGGCTTCTACCACCGCGTGGGTTGCTGAACCTCGGACGATCGCGGCTTCTCTGAACAGCGCGGATCACTGGCAACTGGCTGCGTTCAAACAGGCCACTGGCGGCGCTCGCCCTTGAGTGTCCGCGCTGGGGTCGCCGCCGCGTCGACACGACACGCGCCTCCCGGAGACATCCTCCTCCAAACTTCGGCTTACAGCCGCAGTGGACATCGACTGAAACTGTACAAAGAAGACGCCGCCAAGGGTCCTCGGATACTTCCCGCCCATGGTTGCGTTTTGGGCGGTCATGGGTGCCTCTTGGGCAGTCTGGGGTCCTCGTGGCCGTCTTGGGGCCCTCTTAGGGGACCTCTTGGGTCGTCTTGGGGCTCTCCTGGGGGCCTCTGGGGCCGTCTTGGGCGCTGGCAAGGTCGGAAAAGCGAATGTGCTAGAAATATGCGCTCACCAATGGGAATGGAACGACGTGTGCCTCTTAGGGCCCTCTTCGGGGTCCTCTTGGAGCTGTCTTGCAGCGTCTTGGGGGCCTCTTCGGCCGTCTTCACGCCAACTGGAACTCACTTGGAACCTACCCGGAAGCTCAGGGGTGGTGGGGGAAGCTCTGAGAAGCTTCGGGGAGGCCGGGGGAGGTCCCGGGAGGGGGGGGACCCTCGGTGTGTAGGTGTGGCCCCTGGGGGCCTTCGGCCCAATGATAGAGAGAGATACGTGTATGTGAAGATGTATATGAGGTGTGCTGGAAATCAAAAACTACCCCAGAGGTGTGGAAACAATGCTATGCAACACGATTTACATCAATGTGCGAAGATGCCATGTTTCTGTACGCAGCGCGCCACACGACTCAAGGGCCCTAAACGGCGATGGATGCTGGCATGGAGGCAACAGCAGTGGGGGAGAAGAGCACAAGGCCAAGAGGAGGAAAGACAATAGGATTGCAATGCTACTCCACACACGCCCCAAACTCTTGTTGGTCTTGTGGTCCCTTACCTACACCTCCTCACTCACAGAATATGGATATGCATGTAGAGCATAATGAACATGATGACGATGTCCGCTAGGCTGAACAGCACACGGTTCGAAAGCCACCACGGATACAGACACCTGTCTCTTGTTTTGACTGTATATGAAGTGTGAGTATGATGAGGTGAGCGTAAGCGTTAGCACACTGCTTCACTGGAGTTCGTAATCTGAACATGGGCGCAGGCGCTGAGCACAGCACTCTACACGCCGCTGCTCTGTGCAGGGTCTGACCGCGTTTTGCTTTGACTGTTGCGGGTATTCGGGTCCAGCCGGTGCTTCTCTAGCGTCGAGGTTTCCTCTGTGATGCACAACCGGCCAGTGCGCATCATTATCTGTAGTAGTGGAAGATTACCGCTGCGCTTCGTCATGGCGTCGGCGTACATCCCTGAGTGGTCAACCCATCGGACGGTCCCGTTCTGCGCGTCCAGCGAGGAGCGAATAATCTGCATCTCGATCGCCGTCCTGCGGTCGGCTGCGCACCCAGCACTCTCGCTGTTCAGGTGATCGCACAGAGACTTAGCGTCGCAGATAGTCATCAACCGTTGCAACTCTTTGTTCGGATCTGCTGTCCGGCCGGCCACGAGCAGGCCTCTGCGACGCGCGCGGGACGCCCAATTAACGATATCAAAAGAGGGTTCCACCAACTCCTCGAACACACCCGCACCCACTCGATTTCCGCTAGGGCTTCCGACATTGATTGCGTCTCTGCCGCAAGAGTGCTGGCAGCAATCCGCGGCAAACGGTGGGACTTGTAAGACACCAGGGCAACAGGGGCTGCCTCGTAATCCCACAGCGCTGGAGTCGCGGCGCCGACTAGGAAGGCTCCTTGGCTCTTGTCGCCGGCGGCGTTCGCCCAAGAAGCGTCCTGGACAGTCACCCACCGTAGCAGATGCAATGGTATGTGCGGAATAAAAATACCGAGCTTGGGTTCCCTCTTCTGAATAGCCACAATCATTCGCATCACACAGGTCCTGCACCGTACTCACACGAATTCTTGCCATACCTAGGGAAGCGAGCCCAGATACATCTGGACGCGTCTCTCTCTGAACCCAATTCACACCACCCCACACAGCTCGTAGTTGAGACTGCTCACCGTCAGTGGGGTCGTTCTTGTTAGACTTGCGCCCCTTGGGAATGGTGATGGGAGAGAGGCGTTCGACGACGAACTTCCCCTGGTGGATGTGGAATCCGTAGTCCCTGTGCTGTTGCATGGTCCGTCCAGCGTAATCACCCTCGCCGCAGTATATCGTTTTCCATTTGCCAAACCGAAAACGTTGTTGTAGACATCGCATCTTCTCGTCGTGAACGCTGTTTCCGTGAGCAGCAACGTCATCAACTTCGATTAACAAATGTCCGTATGGGCCTTTGGGCGTCATCAGACAGAAAACACACGGGTCGTAACACGACCTACGGCACCCGAGATCTTCAATTGCACGTACCAGCGTCTTGCGCCAAGCGGCCGGTGCATTGACGAGTCCGCACACAGCGGTGTTGAGCTGGATCAGAGAGCCGGCCTCCACCCAGGTCCCGTCCTCGAGCGAGCTCCCGCCAGGTGGGAGAGAAGCGTACAATTTGCCACGCGGTCTGTCGCTGTGGTCTTTGTCGCTCTGCATGAAGGCCGTCTTCAAATCACCAAATGTAACCTCACGCTGTAAAGACGCAGCCACAAGTAAAAATACGCACATGCTACTGGTCTGGGGTGTAGGATTCGCTCTTGCTAGCTCCATGATGTCGGGGCCCCTGTGCCCCAACACACACCAACGGCACTTTGCCATTGAAGAAGAGCCTAAACCTTCGCTTGGTTTGTCTGAGTACACGTAGCGAGAAGGAAGAATGCGGCCCGGGTGGTGTTTGCGGACGTCATCAGCAGCACGTGGAGAAATGATGGTCACAGCTCCTGTCGGTAACACAAACTTCCACTCCTTCACACTCGCCTCGTGGAAACGCGGCCACTGAGAATCTGATATTTTGTGTCGTGGTATCTCGCTCCTGCGCTGCATTCTGGCAGCTGTCAGCCCTGTGGCTTTGTCCTTGTCAAACAACACATTGCACAATATATTGTCTGTAGTGTCACTGAACAACTCTGCAACCTCCTCCTCCTAGAACAACGCTGGTGCACCCGTGTTCTCCCACGCTGTCTCCTCCACTGACCTCCCCCACCATCCTTCGTCGTCGTCCTCCTCGCGCGTATGATGATGAGATGATGTAGGTAGTGTAGTACACGTAGAAGGCGCCGCACGCGTAGTCGACGCGCCTGCCAATAGATCAGAAGAGAAGGCACTGGGCCCCCAGCGTCCGCCTGCCCGCGGCTGCCAACGCATGCTGCTCGAAGGGTGGCCGCCCAGCCGGTCGACTGCTCCAGGGGCAGAGAGGTCGAGCCGCGGTCGTTGAGCTGGCGGTTCGCCCTCCGGAGGCGGAGGGTCGCGGGCAGCAACCGTACCCGTCCTGGCGGTCGGCGTAGACTGCCCGCCGGCAGGTGCCAGGCCACGTCCTTCGGATTCTGGCTCTGGCAGGGTAGATGCAGTTTGCGCCCGTGGGCGAGCAGGACCATCAGGTTGGGGAGAGCGTTCCAGAGACTGTCGATATCAGCCTGGCTGATCTCCGGTTCCGGCTGTGGTTGGGCTGCAGGCGGTGGTGCTGGAGGCGGCGGTTCCTGTGGCGACATGTTCTCGTCGTCATCATCGCCAGGGAGGTCCGCAGCCGGCGCCGGCACGTTCGCGTCTGGAGGTGGGTCTCCCTCCCGCTCTACGTCGATGTATGTCCTACGGCCTGGGAACTCCTGGAGGTCCGCGCGCATGTCGTCGAGCAGCATGTTTTGAATCTCCAGCCCGCGAGACTCTTCTGTAGTGGCCAATTTGCACTGGAGCTGACTGCAATTCCACAGCGCCCCGCGCATGTTGATCCAAAGGCTACCTCTGTGACTACCCATGCACACTCCAGGGCCGACCCATTCGCCACGCCTGGAAAGCGGATGGGTTTTCCACACCATGACAACGTCATCTGCTCGGAGAGGGGTATGGACACGTGGCCGCGCACGAACAGCCTCCTCGATACGACCTCTGATGGAGACCTCTGCGTGCGCCTTCATGGCAGCCTCACGGATACGCCGGGCCTCCTCGAAGCTACGATCAGACGCTGCAAGGTCATAGATGGCATCTGGGGCATAGACGTCATCGCTGGCGAGGTCAGCGGGAAGGCGGTGGCCTATGCCGAATACCCGCTGTAGCGGCAAATACCCTGATCGATTGCTGAGCCTATTCTTTGCAGCGTTACACTCAGAGATCAAACGACGAAATGATACAAAATCCGTGGGAGAATGTATCCAAACAGCTTTGAACACAATCTTCTTGAAGATGTCCCCGTGGCGCTCCGTTCGGCCGTTTTGCCATGGCGCCCGCGTGTCCGTCAGATGGAAGAGGATGCTGTTTTGCGTGCAGAAGTCCTTGAACGCCTGGCCAACAAACTCGCCGCCCTGGTCTGTAATGATGACGAGCCGCGGGCCGAAGTATCGCACCCGATGGTCTGCTACGCAAGCTGCAACGACCTCGGCCGTTGTATCTTCTACTGGGACGCATAACTGGTAGAGAACACCCCAACATACCATGTTGCAGATAGTCATCTTTGAACCGTCTGGGCAGTCCAGTTCTAGAAGATCGGCGCCGAGAGTCTCATTGAACCAGAAGGTTCTGGGAAGCGATGCTGGCGGTCGTGGCTTGGGCATTCGTCCTTTGGCGTCGCAAGCAGGGCAGTGGAAATGCTTCCGCACGTAATCAAGTACAAGACGTTTCGCCCGTCTCAGCCGTAGAGCACGCAGGAACTCCTCCCTACTAGGATGGCCGCAGTTATGGTGGATCTTCTGGATGGTGCGTTTTTGGTCGTCCGTCAGTGGATGTGTTGCGTTTTCGTCGTATTGCTCGTCTGCCTGCTGGTCGTCAGCCTGCTGGGCGTCGGCTGAGGCTGGATCTTCTTTGGCTGACGCGTCTTCCGCCGATGGACAAACCAACCCAGGCGCTGAGCTCAGCACTCCGGGCCAGTTCCGCGGAAAACGCGCGCCTCCGGTCAAATTGGCCAGCAGGTGCGTGCGATCTTCACGCGAAAGTGCGACCTCGTGACCTTCGTGCCACTCGCCGTGCTCGACGAACTCGAAAAACAGCGACGGATCGAAGACAACGACGTGTCCAGAAGAAACGTCGCACGGACTGCGGCGACCACAACTGCCACTGCTACTGCTACTACTTCGTATCTGGATGACCTCAGCCAGATCTCCAAACAACGAGTCCGAAACACCAGGCGGACGACGCACTGGCAATCCATCAGGAACATAATACACAGCAAGCGCTCGGTCGGAAGGCCACGAGGCGCAAGTGGCCAAGTAGTCCGAGAGCTCGGGCACATCACACCCCCTCAAAATCTCATACGGCCGAGCGCATATGAAAGACATCGAAGAAGCAGGAGGAGAAATAACAGGAAGAGGAGAAATAGTGGAGAGAGTAGAAGATGACGATGATGAGGTAGATGGCGTAGCTGATGGTGTAGAGCTCTTGCTCGTCACAGTTCCTGGTCGTTGATGGTGTTGTTTGCTACGGGCATCATCCAGCCAGGAGGTACCGTTGGCGTCGGTGCTGTGAGGTTCCTTGGAGTGGTCGGCGACGGCAGGGCCCCAGTGGACGCGCCGACGCTTGGCAGAAGCTGGATCTGCAGCTGTAGGTGTTGGGTGAGCTGTTGCACTTGTTCCCATTGCCTCCGGAGGTCCTCCAGGGTCAAGGCCGTTCCGAGGCCTGACTGGCTTAGGGCAGACGCGACTCCTGGCTGTCCAGAGCCACTTCCCGAGACACCACCGACCGAGACCTGAGGAGGGGGCACAGCCGATCCGCTCCTGGAGCCAGGCGCTGAACTCAGCACTCCGGCTCGGGTTCCCTGCCGGCCGTAGTCCAACACTTCCCCGGGCAAGGCTTTGATGAACGTGCAGGCCCGGTCTGCTGTGTTCCAGCCGTCGCACCTCAGGACCATTGTGGCCTCGGCGCTGTATTTGCGAAAGCCACGTTGACATCGAGGGCATGTATCCCTCTTCTCTGGTGGATCGTTTTGGATATCCTGGCCCCTTTGACCCAAAGATCCCGTGGTTTTGGGTGGTTTGGTGTTTTTCTTGGCCCTGGCGGCCAAGGCTCGTGCTGTTGGAATATACGCAAGAATCGCCCCACAGCCCCCCTGGTTGGTGTCGCAGATCAACTGGTCGGCATACGGATTCGAATGCGACCGTTGCATCTCGAGGGTGTGGCGGCACTCCTTTCCCGCATTTGCAACGAGGCCGAACGCCACCGCGAGAACACGGCCTGCCACGCCGCGTCCGCGAGAACGACGAAGCATCGAAGGGCGAACCGCCTCCACCTCTTGACGCGCACGGTGAGCTGCTCTGGCGGCAGCGGCGCCCCCTCCTCCCATGGCTCGGCCCGGCGGCGCGAACCTGGCCGCATCTGACACGGGCAACGCGCGCAAAAAGTCAGTCACTAACGGCCCAACGCACGTTCGGGCCGAAGGCTGCGACGAACCGCTGGGGTCCTGGACCTTCACCGTGGAGAGGAAGCCACTGAGCGTAGTGGAAGGGGAAGAGGTGAACGTCGTCGTCGGGGAAGGCGCACTGGAAGACGAACAAGAAAGGAAATCGTAGGGGTGCGCAAAAACAGGGTACGACGACGAAGATGATGGACGTGATGGAAATGATGATGATGTCGGTCCAATCTCCATTGGCGCATACACCGTCCCCTTCTCGACTCGAAAATCGCCGTCTACCATGGTGGATGGCGCAATCCACCCGCCAGCACCGAACTCCGTCAAACTGTGCGAGACGTGGCCTGTCGGCAGCCGCTGCAAGGCGGTGCTCTTGTTCAGGCGGCGCAGCCCCATGGTCGAATCTGGCAGGTTCACCACGGCGCCAAGCGTGTGCAGGAGGTTGACGGGGGTCAACGGCGGAACAGCTGGGTTGTCGATGATCGTCCACTCGACGAGGCCGTTCACCCCACCAATGCCACACGGCACGCGCACGCGACCGAGCACCTTGGCACGACCTCCCACGCCGACGGCCGCGCCAGGCTTGGAGCTCAAAGTGGGCCTCAGCCCGTGCTCGTTGTACAACAGCTTCTCGTGCTCACGAAAAGCCTTGATGCCAACGACACCGTTCTGGGCAGCCGTGTCCGCCAAGCTCTCGCCAGGCGTCACCTCGAGGCCGCTCCACGGCTCCTGGCTGCGTGCCCGGGCAACTGGCGCCTTCTGCAGAAGTTCACCGACGCTGCTGGCCTCCATGTATGCCGCCGCAGCGCCGCTCGAAGCACCGGGCGCGCTCTCGACGAAGTCGTGGCTGTACGGGCACCTGTCGCCGGCGTAGCACTCCTTCCCAGCGCTGACCCACTTGCAGAGGGTCTTCGCCTTCCTGTTCTCCCGCTGCCGGCGGTGTTTCCCTGCCTTCGCCTGCGGGGTCATGACCTTCTTGGGCATATCCCACTTCCGCTGCGGCTCTCGGCGGTCGTGGAAACTGGCCTGCGCAGGATCGCGCCGCCTGTCGTCAGCCCGGAAGTCGTTCTTCTCAGCGCGGGTCATCTTGCGGTACTCCACCTCGTCCGCGGTGTGGTCGTGGACCGAGGAGTGGGCGACC